GGCCCCGTGGGGGGACGCCCCGCCGCCCCCCACCTGGCCCCCGCGCCCGGCGCCCGCTGGCTCACCTGGGCATGCTTGCGCTTCCGCCCGGGCCGCCCGGCTTTCCTCATGGGCGTCCCCGGCTCCTGCTTCTCCTCCTTGCTCTGGTTCTCCTCAGGCTCCTCTTCCCCCTGCGAGCCGGAGACAGAGAGGACGGTTACGCCGCCAGCCCCGGGGCTGGGCAGCCCCGGGTCCTGGGCACGGCTCCGCTCCCGCTCGGCGCTGGGATCGCCGGCACCGTGGGTGCACCGCAGAGGGCCGTGCGTGGCCGAGCGCCTGGCCAGTGAGGCAGGAGCGCTGCCGGCATCACCAGGCCAGCGGCCCCCAGGGCACCATTAGAAGGGCGATTGCGGCTTCTGCCAGGGCGTGGGCCGCGGCGTGAGCTGCCGTGGGGCTGGGTGCCTTCACTGGGTGAGCCCTCCTGCACCGTGGCCCTGTGTGGTGGCTGGCTCAGGGGTATGCGCCTGCTCCTGCAACCCACCGGAGGCCTGTGTCTGTGGGGCTGGGGGCTCCTGCACCGCAGCATGCGGAAAGGGCTGCGTGGGCCCCACGGCACGGCACAGCAGGCCTGCAAGGAGCCATGCGGCTCCCTGGGGACGAGGGCAGGCAGCAGGAGACAGGGCGCCCTCAGAGCAGGCAGGCAGCTGCCTGCTTCACGGTGCCGCCTCCGGCGTGGGTGCTTCGGGGGACCTCACGCCCCTCTCCACACTCTGCCCCAGAGCAGCTGCCAGCGCCCCGCTGCTCCGTCCCCCCCTTCCCGGCGCCGTGCCCCAGCCCCGGGTGCTGTCAGGGCGCACGCGCCAGCACGGGTGGTGGAGCAGGAACGAGGCCCCGGGAAATAAACCTGCTCCCCATGCTGGGGCTGCAGCAGCCGCCTGAGGACCGCAGCGTGCCGGGGGCCCCCCCCTTCCCTGCTCAGGGGGCCCGCGCCCAGTGCTGCGGCACGGCAGGGGGATGTGCATGCGGGCTGAGGGCTGCGCCGGATCCCCGGCGTGTCCCACGGCGGCGGTGGCGGCAGCGGGGCCGGTTTCACCTGAGCCCCAGAAGGTCCCGGCGGTGGCAGCAGCCAAGGCAGGAAGAGGCCGCGGAGGGGGGAGCAGGGGAAGGAGGAGAGGCCGGCGGGGGGCTGGCGAGGGAGAGGCCGGGGAGGGGATGGGGCTGGCAGCCAGACAGCGCCGACATCCAGCTGCACTCGCACGGCCCCGCAGGCGCCAGCCCCGGCCGCATTCCTGCCCGCTGCTGCCCTCCTTCCCCCTTGGGCTGGGGCAGTTGCAGGTAGTGCTGCCCACAGCACTGCCACGCTGCAGCCGGCACATTCCCGCTGGGATCCAGTCCAAAGGTCCTGTGGAGTTGGGATGTGCCATGCCCCGTGGCCATGGTGCCCCATGGCTGCAGTGCCCCACAGCCACGGTCCCCCAGACCAGCTCCCTCCGTGCCGCCCACCGTCCGCCCACCCAAACCCAGCCTGCATCCCCCCGTGCCCCCGTCTCCCCCTGCCTGGGGCCGTGCATGTGGGATTGCACGGGAGCCATGTGCCGGTTTGTCCCCAGCCACTATGGCGGCCTGCCGGGACCACACTCGCCCCAGCCCCGTCGCCGCATGCCACTCGCCTGCGCGTGGGGCAGGGCAGCCCCCAGCCCCCTGCCAGCCCCGCAATGACTGTGCCCAGGCCCGGCACCCACCAGCACTGCGCCACGGACCGGGAAGCCAGGGCCGAGCAAGGAAAGGCGGCACCTCGGCACCCGGGAGCTCAGCCCCGGGCTGAGCCCTGCTCCCCACGCAGTCCTGGGCGGAAAGTTTTGGGACGGGTCCAAGGACGACGTCAGGATCGTGGTTCCTCCCGATGCAGGAGCCAAACGGGGTCCCCGGGCGGGGGGAATCCTGGGGGTCCCTGCCCTGCAGGCCCGCTGGGGGGGGGAACAGAGCGAAGCCCCCCCTTGCCACGGCCACAGGGACCCGCCTTGCCAAACCACGCGGAGCTGCACTTTGTCCCAGCTGGAGCCGCCTCCGGGTGTTCAGCCCCGGTCCCACAGTGCCGGGATGGCCCTGCAGCCATACAGCCTGTCCCTGTGGTGAGGCCGCGCTTCATCCAGCGCCACGGGGAAACGAGCAGCTCCTGCCACTGCTGCCAGTGCCGGGGCACCCGGCAGCGCCAAGGAGCCTGGGGGGGGCCCAGCCCAGCCCCGCTGCCGGCAGCAGGAGTGCCACAGCAGAGGCGAGCCCCCTGACACCCGTCCCCTTGCTGACGGTGCCGCCCCAGGTGGCTGTGCATGGCTCCAGCCAGCTGCCCCACACCACGCGCTGACTTTGGCCAGGCCCCGGCAGTGTTTACGCTGGATGTAAAGGAAAGGTACGGCGGGGTGTCAAGTGCATGGCACTGGCACACAGCCTGTGCCGGGCAGCCGATCCTCCTGCGGCTGGGGGAGGATGCGGCCGGGGAGCACCTGGTGGGTGCCAGTGAGGCGAGGGGGGCCCTGGGGAGTGCTCTGCAGGGTGCCCAGGCAATGTCGCCTTTCTGGAGGGGCTGCAGTCCCCTGGGGGGGGGTCTCTGTGCTGCCCCAGCCCTGTCTCACCACCCAAGTGGCAGCAGCAGGCACTGCTGTGATTCCTCCCATGGCCTGGGCCCAGCCCTGCCCTGTGCTGGCGAGACGGTGCTGGGCACAGTGCCCTGCCTACGAAAGCAGCGGCCAGCTCCTGCCGTGGTGTGCGGGACCCTCCGGCGCTGCCCCTGGCGCTGCCCCCAGCCCCCCAGGATCGGTGCTGAGGGCTCCATTCTGCTCCCCACACTGCTGCACGCACCCGGCACGTAGAGCACCGGTGGGGCAGCTGGCTTGAAGGACGCTGCGGTGGTGGTGGGGCAGCGGGGGTCCCCGCTGCAGAAACAGGAGGTGCCCCCAGCGCGCACGGGAACAAGGCGAGCTCCCCGCGAGCCGTCCCCACCGCTGCAAACACAGGGCAGCCCCGCCACGAGGCTCAGCACAGTGTCCACAGCACTGAGCTGGGGAACACGGAGCCTGGGACAGCACCGGGGCTGCAGGGACCCCCCAAGGCTCAGCTGGCACCCCAAAAGTGGGGCAAGTGCCTGAGAAGCAGGGATGCAGCCCAGGCGCAAGCAGGGCTGGTGCAAAGGGCTGCGAGGGGGATCTGCTCCCCCCGGCCCGGTGCAGGGGTGCCGGTGCCGCAGCCCCTCGCTGCCTGCAGCCAGCTCGGAGCTGAGTCATCTCCCCATACATCACCCCGCTCCCCTTCTCCCCAGGGCTCGGCCAGGCGCGGGGCTGCATGGCGCGTCCCCGATGCACCGCGCTCCTGCGCCGCTGCCAAGCAACAACCCAGAGGGAAACCACCGCCGAGGAGGAGAGCTGCTGCATGACGCAGTGCTGGCTCCGCAGCTGCTGCACCGGGTCCCAGCTCCTGGCTGCGCCGGGCCGGCAGCGAGGCGGAAGCCGGGAGCCCTTGGTAGTGGGGGGAAACCAGGCCGGTGGGGCAGGAGAAGGTGGGTGCACAGACACCCCCCACCTTGCACGGGAGCTGGAGCTCAGCCTCGCCGGGTCTGTGCTGAAAGCAGCCGGCACTGCCGCGACCCACAGTGCCATGGGCATCAGGGGATGGCCTCGTCCTCCTGGCCCCGCAGGCAGTGCGCGTCCCTTCGGCAGAGGTGACCTCCGCGCGTGGCCCCGGGGGAGACGATGCCGTGTCCCGGCGGGGTCAGGCCAGGACAGCGCTCAGACAGGCGCGCTCACAGCGTGCTTGCTGCCAGCCCACGTGGGTCGCTGGCACCGCAGGGACCGGCACCGGTTCTGCTTTCGAGGGTGAGCAGAGCTGCACCGCAGGCACTGGTTTCTCCCAAGGCTCTTCCAGGCGGTCCCCCTGGCACCGCGGCCCTGCGCCCCGCTCTCCAAGTCAGCTCTGCCACGCACCTCCAGAACAACACCAAAACACAGGGTGGGCTGCCGCGTCCACCTCCTGAGGGCTGCCCTGCTGCCTCGCTCATACTCCCGGTGCCATGACCCACGCAGGTGGGCTCGGCCGCATGCACACGCTCCGGCATAACCCGCCATGGGGGAAAGCACGAGACCGACCGACCGACCCCAGGTTTACTCATACCCGCCAGCCGTACCAAGAACATGCCGGGCACTTCCCAACAGACATGGGGATCAGCCCCTCCAGCAGCCAGGAGCGATGGCCAGAGGACAGGGAGCACCAGCACCGGAGGCACGGCGCAGCCGCCACGGCTGAGCCAGCCCGGAGGAACTCAGATGACCCCGACCCTGCGCTGCCCGCAGCGGGACAGCATCCAGCTGGCTGCCAGCCCCAGTCCCCACGCCTTGACCAGGGCAGGCCCTGCCCCTGCACCCGCCGATACGCTTCTCCTCTCCACGGGAAGAGCAATGCCTTTGCTGGCACTGGGAGCAGCCGCACCGGTCCAGCATGTCCTTGTGCGGCGAGGACGCCAGGGAGCACCGAGGATGCGGTCAGAGCCTGCCGCCCGCCCTGGCTCAGGCCTCCCCAAAACCAGCACAGCCCCTCGCCTGCCCTGCCCTACATCCACGGTGCACCCCCAGCCCCCCCGCCCGGCCCCCGCTCAGCCCTGCTCCGTCCCACAGCAGGCAGGGTGGTTTGGGGCACAGCCCTCCCTGCAGAGCTGCTCTTTGGCTGGGGAGGCAGGGGGGACATGTACCAGGGATGGGGGTCCATCCGCCGGGGCCATGAGCCCCTCGCACGGCGCAGTGATGAGAAGGCGAGTGTGCACCGGGTGCCACTTGGCACGGAAGGGGGTCCTGCCTGAGCCCGAGCGTTGCACATGGGGAGGCAGGAGGACGTGCAGGGACCCCTGACCCCCTGCAGCAGGCGGGACCCCCATGTGGGGGGAGCAGGACTGGCAGGAGGGCTCGAACCTGGCAGTGGTGAGGCTATGGGGCCACCTCTTGATTCACGCCCCGCGTCCCCTTCCCGCTGCCCCACAGCCCAGGACACGTACCCACCACGCACCCCATCGCCACCCACCCAGCCCCAGAGCCGGGGCAGCACCCAGCCTTGGGGATGCCCCCCCGACCCTGTGCTCTCTGCCATTGCGGCAGCCCCCTCCCCGCAGCTGGGCTTGCCCCGGCCCTGGCCGCCGCTGGGAGGTGACGGCAGGACTCTGCTTCCCTGTCCCCTCCCCGCACTCCCCCACCGCCAGGAATAGCTCAATCCTCGCTAATCCCAGCTGCGGCTCAGGGCTCCCCCCGCCCGGCACCGCGCTCCCCACTGCAGCGAGGGGGGGAGTGGGGCTGGCACACGGCGGTGGCGACCCTGCACCCCCTTTTCCCGCACGCCTGCCAAGCCAGCGTTGGCCAGGAATGAACTGGACCCCCTGGAGCCCACCGCTGCCCTGGCACCGGCAGGAGCAGCGCCAAGCCCAGCGACGGGGATGGCCGTGGCGCGAGCAGGGCCCCCCCCGGCAGGCCCCCGCCTGCCGAGAGCCAGCAGAGCCACGGCGGGACCCTACCTTGTGCGTGTCAAGCGCCTCGCGGTTCGGAGCGGGGCTGCTGGCGTCGAGGGTCCCACTGGACGGCATGGTGGGGAGCGAGGGCAGGCGCCTGGGACCGTCGCCTCTTCAGCACCAAAGCGGACCCCGCCGCCGCCGCGCTCCGGCTCTCTGCGCCAAGGAGGGGGTCCGGGAGCCGTCGCCCGCTGCAGCGGCCAGCCCCTGCGTCCTGCCGCCTGCCTGGATCCTCCTGCCCCTGCGGGAAGCAGAGAGGGCTGGGGTGAGGGGGGAGCGCTGGCCCTGCCGCCCCCCGCCCGTCGCCCCGTGCCCCGGCCCCCGGCAATTATTAACACGCCACAACCTTGACTCAGCCGGGCTGGGCCAGGCCGTTGTCCCCGGCATCGCCTCCGGCAGGCGGCGGAGCCCCAGCCCGTGCCGGCTGCAGGGTGCTCGGTGCGGGGTGCATGGCACAAGGTGCACAGTGCTGGCGCAGCGGCGCTGGGCGCATGGGGCACGGTGTGGTGCGGGGTGCACGGCGTGCAGCGTGGGGTGCAGGGTGCGGGGTGTGCATTGCACAGCGCGGGGTGCACAGCACGGGGTGCACAGTGCACAGGGTGGGGCGCATTCTGCAGGGTGCAGAGCGCGCGGGGTAGAGCGTGGGGTGCGGGGTGCGCTTTGCAGGGTGCGCAGTGCGGGGTGCAGGTTGCGGGGTGCGGGGTGTGTTCCGCAGGGTGCGGGGTGCAGGCAGGGGCTGCGGAGGAGGCGTCAGCCCCAGCACCTGTTGCTATGGCAAACGCTGCCTGCATTAGCCATGGCCGAGGCTGCTGTTGCCTTTGGCACCGGAGCTGCAATTTGTTTCTAGAGCTTTCCAGCCGCAGCCCGTTCCCAGCCGGCGGGGTGGGGGGCTGCCGGGCGGGCAGGGCCGCTGCTGCTAGGAACAGAAACTCAAAACCCGACACGTTCCTCCCGTCCCCACGGCTGCCTGCAGCGGGGGGCTGCCTGCGGGGCT